GGAGGGGGCTTTGGGTGAAAGCGCTCAGGTTCACACTGCAAAGGGCTGCTGCTCCTCGCCTGTTGGCCCGCGCTGGTGCCGGGTCCCTCCCAAGAGCGGAGCCGTCTCCATGTCCCCGTGTCCGGGCTCTCCGTGCACAGCCCCTGGCRGAACCCGGGCAGGAGCAGCTCCTCGCCTCGCACACGCACAGCTGGGCCGGGAGGCCRGGAATTCCCTCTCCCAAAGGCTGCGTTTGGCCCCAGCACAGCCGGCAGGAGCGGCTTCCTCCTTGCCCGGCCACGGGGCTTCCTTCCAGTCACTCACCAAGCACCAGGTATTTCATCAGCCGGGAACAAAGGTCTATTGACTGCCACGACCTTCCCTATTCCCGCAACTGCTGGCRCAAAGCCCAGCAGCCAGCCTGTGATTCAAAACAAGCTCTTTCCTCATCCTTGATGCCGGAGGGTGGAATTTCAACCAGGCTGGACATCCAGTGTATGGTGTATTACATCAGGCTACCCCCTTGCCATGGCTTGCACTCCTTACGTCAGACCTACCAGCAAAGCAAGGTGCCCAAATCGGGTTTTGGATTCCGCCTAAGTCTGAGCTCTTCGGAACAATCGACAATACTCGATTGTCTTAGAAGGGTCACTGGGGGAAAGGGAATACGAGCTGTCGTGTTGCTTCTCCATCCTGAGTTAGGCCTCAGCCTCGGAACAGGGATGTGAATGGATTTGCAGAAGAGGAGAACCGTCAGCCACACAAATATCCCCCCTTCTCCCATTGACCAGGGAGGGAGAAAGAGCCTGTTCCCAGGGGAATTTGAAAATTCTGCTCGTATTCTGGTAGATATTATTGGAAATATCAGCCGCCCCTCAGTGCTCCACTGTTCCAAGCAAACATTTTGCCGACACCCTCATTGCCATGAGCTAGCATTAAATGAGAGGGTAAAGATAAGACTGTACCCAAGTGATTTGTATCATTATTTGTAACGACACAAGTAACGCAGCGGGCTGCGGCCTCCCGCAGCGTTGGGGGTGCTCCTGAGGGGCCTCTCTCCCGGCTCCGGTGTGAACGTGGCCAGGCCTGCGGCACGTGAGCCGCTAGCGGGTAAGGTCGCCTGGCGCAGGGAAAGCCCAGCTGCCCTGCGCGTGGTGCCTCAGCGAGCGGCTGAGGCCGCTCCTGCCTCCCGAGCGGCAGCAGCCTTGGAGCCGCGCACGGCCGCCCGCAGCTCCCCCGGTGAGCCGCGGAGCTCCCGCCGAGCTGGCGCTCGGCGCAGCCCAGGATCACACCCGGCCTCCCCAAATCCTGCGCGGAGCTGCYGTCTATTGCAGCGCAGCACAAGGAGCCCCGGCTGCTGGGGGCCCGAGCGTTTCCCAGAAAGGCCCGCCGGGAGCCGTGCTCGCTGAYGCCCGCGTAGCTTAGCTCCTCGCTGGGCTCCAGCCTCCCGCTTCAGCCAGGCGGCAGGAAGCGGCCGCTGCGAGCGCCGCGGCCCCTCCGAGCTGCCCCTGGGGGAAAGAAAACCGAAGGAGATGCTCGCGGCCCTGGGCAAGCCCTCCTGCCCTGGCCCTGCCCGCGACAGGCGAACAGGCTCCCCAGGCAGGGAAGGAAGGTTCTCGGGCTGTATCAGGTTCACGGGCTGTAACACGTTCACCGCTCACCTCAGGGCCTCACAGTTCTGGGTTGCTCCTCTGAGCCGGCCCCTGCGTTCCTCGCCCTGCCCGGCGCTGCTGACGCCACCTCTTTCCCTTTCCTTTAGCTGAAGAAGGAACAGACGAGGATGAAACATCCGTGTTTTGTCACTGGGGACCTTTCACCGCTGGGGACGTTTGCATCTGGCTACGTGTCACTCCTTAGCGCCCTGCAATGTCCCCAGCCGCGAAGGCCGGTGCTGCTCCGTGGCGCTGCTGAGGGCGCGTGAGGAGAACGGGAGCCCCACGGGAGCCCCGCGAGGCCTGACCCCTCTCCCCACAGCCCCAGCGTTTAGCCAGGACCGCAGGGACCTGCTGTTGGGCACAGGGCAAGAGAACCTCAGGAGAACCTGCCAGGTACAACCGGGAGCCAGCCTTGAAAGTGGCACCTCCCAATCCGAAGAAAAGGCAGCAGAAACAAAGCAGAGCCTCTGCTCTTTGGCATCATGGCTCATACAAAGAAAAGYAGTTCTCCAGCAGAGAAACTGGAAGGGAGTCAGAGTTTTCTTTTTTATTCCAAGTCAACCCCAGATTTAGTCACTTATTTTCCCCCTATTCTTATTTTCAAAAATCAAAATTGTCCCTACTGGGAAACATGCATCTTAATTAAGACAATAACAAAAATCTTGAYTTATAGATGGGAACAAGGCATGGAATGCAACCAAAATCTACATTAGCGCCCATTTTTAATATAACATTCCAAAAAGTTACTGCCTCCMTGGCTTAAACTGATAAAAAAATATAAAGGAATATGTAACAGGTCAGGGAATTGTTATTGTAACTATTAAGATCTTACTTCAATGTGGAAAACCTGATACAGAAAAATTACCCCAACAGCAGCTAATTCCCTCTTGAGGTTAATTACAAGATCATTTAATCATTTCCATACAAAATGTTTCTGTGTCAAGGTAATAATTAGGATGATGGTATTACTGCCATCAAGGGGAAACTTACAGCCTTCATATTAAATTGTTAATAGTTTCTCGTTATAATTAACAGTGAGGAACTTAGCAGGTACTTAGCAGGTCTCCTAATTGGTGTCAGCTAGAAAGGCTACTTGGCTTCTGCCACCACACTTGAACATCTGACCGGGCAGTTTATCTGGACCACAAAATTACTTGCTCTATCTGGACCACGAAATTATTGGGTGCAATTCTGGGCTCCCCGGGACAAGAGGGATGTGGAGCTTCTAGGGAGGATCCAGAGCAGAGCAACCAAGATGATGAAAGGAACATCTCTTGTATGAGGAAAGACTAAGCGAGCTGGGCTTGTTTACCCTGGAGAAGAGAAGGTTGAGAGAGGATCTGATCAATATGTATAAATATCTGAAGGGAGAATGTAGGGAAGATGGGGCCAAACTCTTCTCAGTGGTGGCTAGTCACAGGACAAGGGGCAATGGGTGTAAGTTGAAACACAGGCAGTTCCATCTCCATGTGAGGAGGAACTGTGAGGCACTGTGAGGGTGCCAGAGCCCTGGCACAGGCTGCCCAGGGAGGCTGTGGAGTCTCCTTCTCTGGAGATCTTCCAGACCCGCCTGGATGCCGCCCTGTGCCCCGTGCCCTGGATGTCCCTGCTGGAGCAGGGAGGTTGGACTAGGTGATCTCTAGAGGGCCCTTCCAACTTCAAACAGTCTGTGATTCTGTGATTSACTTGCTCCCCAGCAATTCATCAGCTATTTTCTTCTGGCCGTGTCAGTGTGCCTTTAGCTGCTTGCTGTGACACAGGGCCACATGCTGCTCCGGGGTCCAGGGTATATCCCAAACTCAGGGAACAGAGGAAGAACCAGGCAGGCCAGTGCCAGGTTCAGCCCTGAGTGCTGCACGGGGTTGGTGTGAGCAGTGCTTGGAACAGTCCTTGGTCCCTGCTGCTCCCTGCACAGGTTTGGAGGAGGATGAGGAAGGAGCCAGCGTTCCTTGTAGGTGCAGGAGCCCTGCAGTGCTTCAGCACTGCGGGGGCTCTGACGACTGGGGACCTGCCTGGTCTCCTGTGACAAAACTCATGAGAAAAGGGGCATCACTTGCAACACGGCGAGCCTGCCTGTTGGTTTGAGGCTTAGGGCTGCAGTGAAGGGGACACTGCTGGGCCTGTAAGCACCAGTGCAGGAATGCGGACAGTACAGCCAACAGACTCTCAACGAGCCATAGATCTGGAGTTGGGGTGCTGCAGTCTGCAACACTCAATTAATTGAAACTTCCTGAATTTCTAAAAATGAAAAAAAAAAAAAAAATGTCACCAGAGTCCTTCAAGGAAAGTCCTGCAGCTGCAGGATAAGAGGTCTACTGTGAGTAAATGATTGGCCAAAAAACAGGAAACAGGTAGTCAATGGAGGTCAGTGACAGAGTTTGGCCAGGGGTGGGTGGGAGGGTGTCTCTACCCAGAGATCGTCTCCTAGTGAAGAGCCCCAGCGCTGGGCCTAGGCCCAGGGCTCTGCGGGAGGCCCAGCAACATCAGCAGCTGCCTGTGCCACTGCTGGGAACCAGGGCACTGMGACAGCCCACGCCTGGTCATGCCACATCAGCACGAGGAGACCTCTCTCTTCCGTGGGTTTTATATCAAGCAAACCCTGCCACCAAAAATAAAAATGTAAAAAGTGTCATTTCCTGGAGACACAGAGGTGTTAAAGAGTGCTGAGGTCCCGTTATCTCAAAGCGCTGCGCAACCCTTGCGAGGCGCGCTGGGAAACGCAGCCGGGCAGAGCGCGGCTCCCTGCGCTGCCCCTCCCGGAGCGCGGCGCTCCCAGCGCCACCCGGCGGCGCCGGCCCGCGCCACACGGGGCCGCTCTCTCCTTGTGACGTCAGCACGTAAGGGGTCGGGCAGATCGCGGCTCCCGGGCATCCCGCGAAGTAAGCGGGTCACCTGGGGGCGACCTGTGCCCGCGCAAAAATTCCTCTCACATTCGCAGTGAGGACCCGGGCGTCACCCCGGATCGTTATTTTCCTTACTCATAAGTTTAAGGCATAACCGCCAGACACCGCTTCCGCCCTGGTGACCCTGCGCATACACTCCTGTGGTCAGGGCGAGCGAACGACTCCGCCATCACAACAGCCTAGGGCAGCGCCTCCGCCGCCCCGATCCCCCAGCCCGGTTCCGACTGGCTTCTCACGCGTTCAAATGCCGTGGAAACGGGAGCGAGACGGGACGTGCGGGCAGCCGTATGTAAATAAGGACCATGCGCCGCGAGGGCTTCTGGGACCGCCGGGCTGCGGGCGCCCTCCTCCCCCCGCCCCTGACGCGCTCGGGCGGAGCTGGGGGGATGTGCCTACTTCTGGAGGCGGGGCTCCAGGCGGAAGCCGCTTGATGTCACGTCCGGGTCTCGCTCGCTGCGTCTCAGCGCTGGGCCCCGCGACAAGATGGCGGACCTGTCTCTGGACGAGCTCATACGGAAGCGCGGCGTGACTGTGAAGGGGAGGTAGGCGGCTGGGCGGGCGGCGCCCGCGCCCGGGCTCCCCCCGGCCCCCGCGCCCTCCCGTGGGAGCCGCTCCGCGCCGGGGCGGCCGCGGGCCGCCGCCTGCCTCAGCGCGGCCCGGCCCCTCTCCCCGCTCTGGCCCTCCCATTGGCTTGGGCGCTGGCCCGTGGCGCCCCATTGAGGCGCTGATTGGTGCGGGGTGCTGTCAGTCAGGGGCGGGGCGGGGGTCTCCCCGCGGGGCTCCCGGCGCAGCCGCCCCCGCCCCGCGAGGACCCCGGGCGGCCCCGCGCGCTGCCGGGCGCCCCGCGGCCGTTGGAGCGCGAGCGCGGAGCGGCCCGCGCGGCCGGCGCGCGCCGGGGGCCCTCGCTGGGGGTCCTCGCTGGCCTCCCCGCGGGGGCTCCGGCGCCTCCCCGGTGCTTCAGCCGCTCGGGGCTCCCGGGCCTGCCCGCGCCTCCACCCCGCGAAGCTCGCCGCTCTTGGGGAGCGCTCTGGGCACTGCAATGGGGGGGTTAACCGCCGCTAACGGACACCCCAGAACCGCGTTTTGAACGGTCTCAGYGCGCAGAGGCCAGCCGAAAAACCCAGTCCCTTCCCTGCGGCCCTGCCTGGGCAAGGCCCCGGCTCCCATTCGCGTTACGCCGCGGGTTTGGGGCAGTCTGGCGCTGCTTCGTATGCCAAGCACCTCCTCTCGCTTTCCAAATGCCTCCTTAGCTCTCGTTCCTTCCCGGAATCCCTCCAGCTTTTATCTGCTCAACAGCAGTCTCCCAGCAGCGCCCCTGGAGCCCGTGTGCCCCGCGTTCCTCTTGTTTGTCATCGTTAGCTTACTTAAAAGATTTCTGCTGTAGGTACCTGTAGGTGCTGCTGAGTGCCACACGAGGTGACAACTCTTGTTGTTGTCCACACGCCCCTCGGTAGCCCAAGCAAAAGGGTACCAGGAGAACCCGCRGTTACGAAACGTGCCACTGCACCAGCTTTTATAATGTGCTGCAGTGAAATTAGCTGGAACTCAGGGTAATTTAAATTGCATTTTGTGGAATTGCGGTTCCCTTGTATTTGTATATACAAGGGAATTCGGATTCCCCCGTATTTGAGGCATTGGGGCGTGCAGTGGGCACGTAGTGCCTCCACAGTTCATGTTTTTTGTGCAATAAGTATATATATATATAAAATACATATGCTGAGTTGCTTGTTAAGATCTCCTGAGAAAGTATAATCTGTATAGATTTCTAATTGATTTCATCAATGTAAGTCCTTACCATTCTAATGGAGTCTTCAAATGCTAATTACATAGGTCTCTGATTTTTGCTYTGACCTCCCTTTTTGTACTGATCGAAAAGAACCCCTCATCAGCCTTCCTGCAGCACCCTAATGAAGTGCTCGCTATTAGGTTAATAGCTTGTAAAACGACAAGGGAAGTTTTGTTTTGTGGCTGTTACTTTACAAATCCTCTTCCTCTTTCACGTACGCTGGGCTGTGTTCTAACAAATGCACGTAATATTCCCGCCTCTTAATTGGCGTGCCCTGTCTGAACGAGGGAGCRTCGCCGCAGCCTTCTTAGCTAGGCAACAAAGCGGGAGCCCAGGCCTAGCTTTTCAGGTATCACTCATTTTTGCTGCATCCAGGCACAGGGGCTGATGCTCAGTCTTTTCCATCTCTTTTCTACTGCTTTTCCGCAGACCTCTTCACTGTAAATATGYAAGTAGAAGTTAAAGTCGTAGTGTTAAATAAATCAAGAAGGGCTCGTCTAAACCTGTGTGAAAAAGCTGACTTGCATCATTTGACCCAGTGGTTGAGACATTGTCTCAGCCTTTTGAGTATCRCAACAAATCCTAGATATTTTATTGWATTTTAGGTATTATGATACTGATTATTTTATGATATCAATCATATGTCAATTAGATTGGAAAAACAAAACTTAAACACTGTAGTGCTCTGGCCCTTTTTTGAATATAAAAGCCAATAGCAAGAATATTTTTTCTTTTGATATGTTAACTCTGRAATTTCTCTTAGAGCGTTGTCATCCCTTTACCAAAAGGAAACCAATTCAAAAACTACAAAACTTCAAAAAATATGTATTTAAAGGAGGGATTCTACTAAAAATCCAGATGAGCTTATTCCTTTTAGGAGAACCCTTGAAAAAGTCAATCAAACTTGTAATGAGAAGCTCRTTTTTGTTTCCACTACAGAATGGGCTGCTTTTCAGTAAGAAACGTATGAAAACGTATGTCCATCCATACGTCTTCCCTGGATGGACAGGGGTTGCCCAGAGAGGTCTCCATCCTTGCAGAGGTTCAGAGCCCACCTGCGTGCAGGGCAGGACCGCCTGCTGGGGCAGGGTGGCTGGGGCAGGATCTCTCCAGAGCTCCCTGGCAGCCCCGGCTGCTGTTGCTGCTCCCAGGCTCTGGCTGCTGTCCCGCCGTACGGAGCGTGGCAGTAGCAGCAGGCTTTGCAGTGTGAGCCAGTGGGTGCAGCACTGGTGGTAGCAGATTAGATAAGAGGCAGTGGTGTGAGCAAGTGATTTGAGCAGCGAGTCCTTGCTGGCAATCTCAGCCTTCTGCTGAGACTTGTACTCACAGATGTACAACCTACAACCCAAAGCTCCTGCGCTTCCAAAAACCAGAAGCTGCCGTCCAGGATTCTTGGAGCTGCCTGTAGTTGCAGCATCTCTTTGTCCCGGGACACACCGTGCAACAAAAGATGTTTTACAAGACCTGCTCAGCCCTAAAGCTGGAATTTCCGCTCTTATCTTTAGAGGGTTCCCCAAGGTACTTAAGTTTTAGATAAACTTTGCGCAGGTGTAGTGTGAGCTTGGCACAGCCCAAGTCCAGCCCCTTAAGTTCATAAATGTGAGCTTAAGGACCAATGTTAGAAGTCATTACTTTAGAAATTGTCTCTTCATGTTTTATTTTGTCAATAAATAGCTAATGTAAAACAGCTTATGTTCTCTGCTATTCTATTTGGGCATCTAACTTGGTAGTAATAATAGCCTTTTGTTTGCAGCACCACAAATACTTGTRTGGGTGCTAAATCATATCTTACAGTGTCTGAAACTCTTTTTCTAGGCTTAACACGAGGCCGGTGTTTGGAGGTGTAAGATCTCGCATTGGGATCCAGCAAAATCTTCTCAGTAGATCCTCACCAGCTGTCGGCTTCCAGCGGACATTTGATGCCCGACAGAAGATTGGCCTCACCGATGCCAGACACAAACTTGGCGTTAAAGATGCCCGTGAAAAACTGGTTCAAAAAGACGCTCGGTTCAAAATCAAGGGGAAAGTGCAGGATGCTCGAGAGATGCTGAATTCCCGCAAGCAGCAGAGCGTCGCTGTCGAAAAGGTGACCAAAGTGGTGGATGCCAGAGAGAAGATCAGCTTGAAAAGGAGCATGCCTACTGCTGCTGCTGCTATCAGCCCAACTATGGGGACAGTAAATCCAGCCATGAAAATCACCAAAACCATCCAAGTAGGTCAAGCAAGTTGCTTCTAAGCCCCCTAGCTATTCTGCAGCAGTGCAGTGGAAATGATGATAAATATAGTGAAATGTCTCAAGGTTGCCATAGAAGCCATGGGGATGCAGCTGAACCCAGTTTGTAGGGCAAGATTTAGTCTTTCTGKTTTTTTCAGTGCCTTTCTGCCATTTGGAGCTTTGGGCTTTTGCAGTTCTGAACTGCAAACAAAACCAAAAAGTACAATTTGGACCTGATAAATGACTAAAACAACGTGATCTTCCTGGGGCCAAAGTAACTGTCTGAAATTTTTAARTAGTCTCTCCTTCCCTTCTGAAATCCAAGGAAACTTTTTTGTTGATTTGTTTTCTTTGTTGTTCTTACATATTGCACAGCTCATGGCGAGAGTGTGTTGTGGATTGTCTTGCCTAGATAACTGGTTTATATCCAGTTTAGAATATGCAGAATTTGATGCCTTGTAGCAGTTATAAAACATTTTTTTCATCTTCCTATAAAACTTGATCTGCCCTTTTCCGTGACTCTGCCCTCCCTGTTTCCAGGTAATTGCCTGATTTTTGACATGTTCCTGCTGGGTCTCAAGCTTTATTCTGGTTTCATGATCATCAGCTGATCATCCTAGCCTGATTTTCTTCAGCAGCTTTCAGATTTCATCCCRTTGTGTGCACAGTAACTTGTTTGTTAGCTGACTTCTCTGAGTAGCAGCTGTGTGTGTATTAGGTACAGAGGGAGATAAGTTTCCAGGCTGTCAGAATTGCTTTTTGAGGAGTGGTTTTGTTCCCTGTTTCAAGAATGTGCATGTAACTAGTTCCTAACCTGCTGCTTTCGTTTTGCTCTTCATGAGGATCACCAGTATGTTTGCAGGTGCCCAGAGCAATCTCCAGCCCTTATGAATCTGAAAATCTAGATCAGTCCTTGCGATCAGTTCTTCTGCTGAAGAGCATCCAGCGTGTTTCTTCCTTGAATGAGCCTAGCATGTAGCCTGTCACCTCTTCAGATTTCCTGCCAGGTTGAAAGTGAAAGAACGGCTTAGAAAGGGGAAGCTGAGTCTTGTGACAGCTAAAGGGCAAATCACAGAGCAACGGAGCGGTCTGTTCAGTAGTCTGTAATTAGTAGGGTAGTTAATATTCATACTGTCCTTTACAGCCAAATCAAAGTGACATCAGCCATTGGCAGTTGGACATTTTTTAGGAGTTAAAATTGTTCCTGGAGACTGGATTCAGTAGCAGTTYGCTCTGATCTGTATTTCGTTTTGATTTTGTATGACTCAATTTGATCTGCAACACTTGATTGTTAGACAACGTGTTACGGTATAGAGAATGATTATATCAATACAGAGCTACTCAAACTATGGGCACGCAACTGTGTTTGTTTTTTCTTCAATATTTTTACTGAAATTCCATTTCCAAACTTCTCATGGCCCTCCTTCAGTTTTTCTTCGTCTCTGCCCCCAAACATGGAACAGAATCAAACTGAAGTATCTTGATTCCTGGATACAGCACAGAGCTCTAATGTCCTGGACTCTGGTTTTGCCTCTTACTAGAGAAAGAAAAATGTCTTTGGCACCCAAAAAACCTCYAGAGCTCTGCTGTTCTTGCAAGACAGGCATCATTTTTCTTTTTCTGAATTAGCAATTTGAAGCATGAGGGTACTATGATGTAAGTAATGGTCTGCTAGAGCAAACAGAAACCTGAAGTTCTGACAATTTGTGTGCAGTATTAAACCACTTTTTTTCTTTCGTCCTAGACAACTTCTAGACTTTTCAAAAACAGAAAGGATGTCTTTGAAGGAGCTGTTGCATGGCTGCTGATTACTGAGGCTGAATTCCTTGACTTTTGTTACTGTTTTCTTTTTTCACTGGGTAATAGACCGGAGAGGAGGGGCAGCTGCACCACCCCATGCACCACTTTATCCCAGTTCAGCTTATGCTGGATCTGGGGTGAAGGGACAGTGTATGTTTCTCTTTAAAAGCAGCACTGTACAAATTGCATTCTGTCCTGCATGTTCAATTTGATGGAAGAAGATCTGTTTCTCTGTGGCATGGAGGATGAGAAGCTAGCTTACTGATTTTTATACCCTTGACAGTTTCATGTTTGTAGAAATGCAGAAATCAAACCTAAGCAGTACTAGCAGGGTCAGAATTAAAGTCCATTTTTAGCTAATCTAGGACTAAAAGTCAAAGTGGTTTTGAATCTGAATTTTGCTGATTCACCTTAGTTTTTAGTTTYGTTAAGTGCAAGCATCTCATACTGGACGTATTAGAGGGAGCACAATTGTTAGCACACGGTGTTACAACATTTCAAGAGCCGAGAGCGAGTTTCACTCTATTGGTCTCGGCGCAGGAAAGAAGAGCTCCTGCCCTCTGAAATGGGGAGCTGGTGGCCTGTAGTACTTAATGCTTTGGTTTTTTCCTTCTACCTGCAGCAGAAAGCTCCAGTTCCCGGACACTCTCATCCAGCAGGAATGCGGATCAATGTGGTGAACAACCATACACACAAGCAGGTGTGTGTCCCTGGCCCCAGGAGGGCTGCTGCCCTGGGGAGGAGGGCGCGCGGGGTCCCCCAACGGTGGCAGGTGCAAAAGCAAGTTGCAAGTRGGAAAAGAGAAAGAATTTGGAAGGTCTCAACACCTTGGCACTCTCTTAATGCATAGAAGGTGCTTTCATGGTTATTAAGGTTTTCCTTTAGCCTGGCTAAAGTTGACTCCTTATGTATGAATACAAAATAGGTGTTTCTAGTTTTTGTATGAATTAACTTTTCTGTCTAGGAGCTGCAGCCTTTAGCTCTAAGCTCTTTCTGGTAGTTCTTCAGTAATACTGTATCAGATCGAGATTGGTCTTTTTGAYTCAGCATCTTGCTGCTCCTTCAGAGACTGGATATGAGTCCGCATCATCAAATGCACTGTGGTGATTTGGATAACTACGGTTGGCTTCCCATGAAACCCAGCTTTGTGTCCYTGCTTGAAACCTCATGCTGACTGATGTTAGCTAGGTGTTTTGATACTGCTTCAGAATTGCCTTATCCTTTATTGGAGAGATTTTCTGTGAAGGGATGGGAAATCCCTCAAGTTTAACATCTCTTCTGGATTCACTTTAAAAGGCATTGTCTGTTTGGATACGTTACCACTGTGGGTTATTTCTGAGAAAAATATACAATATAAAATACATCTTTTATACATATGCACACGTGTGTCTGTGTATACACAGATAAGATATGAAATACTGGGAAACTGACACTGGCAATACTTGTTTATCTTTTGCCTGGACTACAGTAACTTTAGCTTCTTTGTAAAGCTGTTTTAGTGCTGTATTCCCCTGCCACCCTCATTTAGCCATGATGCTGTCACTTAAGGAAGCGTCACGTTCTGACCTCACTGTTTTAGCGCTTGCATCCCTTTCACTTTCTCTTTATGGGTGGTATTTTTCATAGTTCTTTTTCTTTATAGAGTTACTCTCTGTGCTGCCTTYGGTGTCTATTATTTCCTCGTGCTTCTTTTCTTTATAACATCTCTGTATGTGGAAAAACCTGCCTGTTTATAAACCACAACCTTGCTGACCATGAAAACTGACCTTGCAGACTGTTTCTAATCCCTCCATTTTCTGCATCTCTTCATTTTCTRCTAAATTAATGGGAAACACTGAGTTGTGACTTCTTATGTTTTGGGCAGTGCCGTATGTGTGATGGGCTTTTTTTCCTAGGGAAACATTATCACTTACAATCTCTGGAAAAAAAAGTCTGTGTAGGAGTTAACCTCGGTAYTTTGAGGCAAGGCTGTGAGCATTTAAGCGGAGCTGGGAAATGAATTATTCAGCAAACCTCCTAGTGCTGTGTTTTCTAGTGCCAGACGGGCATGTGCTGTGCTGAAGAAAGCAGGCTATTCAGAAGGAACGTTGGGTTCAGATCTATTTGGCAGCCATCTGTTTACTGAAAAAAAAATGCATAGGCTTAAACTTTAAAGCCAGCAGGCTGCTAGAAAGGAAGGCATTGAGGCTTTATTGTATTAATGTGGTCTCATGAGTCCTGATGTGATTTAGGACTTAGAGAAGCCTGTATGTGGTCTTAGTACGTGCAGGGAAATAGCTTTGCTGTAGCTTTCCTGGAAGAAGTTTGAGGGTTCTTAGCAGTGACGTTTGGAAATGGACTTGCCCGCGTTCGGTGTCTGTCACCAAGCTGCGAGGGCAGAAGTCTGAAGCAGAAATGCTCCTTACCTGATGTCACTGTGTGTGTGTGCTTCAAGGAAGACTGGGAGSGGGGGAGTGACTTCTCTTGGGAGGGATGCACGTATTGCATATACCTGCTTGTAAGTCATTACCTTGCTTTTCTCTAGGGTCTGTATGACATGGAAGATGATGATGAAAGTGTCTCTCCCCTTCCTAGCAAACAGATGAAAATCACCACCACRAACAGTTTCCTGCACAACGCGGTAAGGGATTCCCTGAGCGGTCCCCGCCATGCCTTGATCATGTACGGTGGGCACACAGGCTACAGCTTTAAAGGGCTTATGTTCTTTTAAAGTACGTAAATGATGATTTCCCCTGGAATGTAGGGGGCCCTCCCCCAGCTTTCCCTAATACAGTAGCRTTTCCAACAGAGCGACTGTAGAGTCTGTGTTCTCCGGGATACTCGGAGTTGGACTGAACAAGGCCCAGAGTCAGGCCAGGCTAACCCTGCTTTGGGYAGGGGGTCAGACATGGGCTCATCCTGAATTATTTTGTGATTCTAAATAAGCAATTTAATGTAGCTTATGCCATCATGTCTAGTCATGATTACCTTATTTTTTCAGGAATAAGTGTTTGTCTCTAGCGATTGCTGCAGATATCAAGAACRTTTTCTTTTGCCTTAAGTTCTCCAGATAGCTTCAACTAGGGAAGTTGCTTTTTGTGTGCTAGTGTAATGTGAACAGGCATTCTTCAGAAACACTAAGACAGCTCAATTCTAATGCAAATAAGTTATCTTTGCATATATTTGTGCATAGTACCTGAATTTTCAGATAGAAATTGCTTTCAAATTGCCAAATTGCACTCGTTTTCAAACTTTAAGAAACGTATGAAAATCCAGTGTGCTTGTTTAAAAAAAAAAAATGCTTTCAACATCTTAGGGTAAACAGATCTTTGTCTCTAAGCTGAAAGCCTCCAGCACTGTAGTGGTTTGGACACTGGGAAGGACATAAGAGTTCATTAAGCATGCCAGGAATGTTCTCCTGCTGTTGGTGCGTAGGAAAAGGGACCTACTCTTGYAGTCTGCCTCAGGAATGTTGTATTCTCTCTTCCTGCAGACTGGGCTGAGTGGCAATAAATTCTCTCTGTCCAAGACTGTTCCCCTGACTAAAGTGGTCCAGAATGATACTTACACAGCTCCTCCTGCACCTCCCTCCCCCATGCGGACAAAAGCCTTGACAAACATGTCCCGGACCTTGGTGACAAAGGAGGAGCCTCCGAAAGAGCCAGCACCTGTTGAGGTGAGTCTAGGGAAATGGGTCACGCTCCTTAGAAATCTGCAGAGATGTGTGAAACTGCTCTGGGTTGGTTATGGAAGGGAGTTATTTCTGTCTGCCTCCCACCACTGTCTGGGGACTCCATCAAGCTTATTCTGATAACTGCAGACCACATCCCACRAACTTGAAAGCTGTATAAACATCTTCTATTAAAAGGTTGGGAATTCCCAGACTGTTTTGCTCCATTTTTTTCTTTTCCAAAACTGGAGCACATACTCCTGGAGGAATCTGTTACAGGGAGGTAGCAGCTGTTACTTGGACAGCACTTGGTGACTTGCATGTTGCCAAGAGTAGTGTTTCAGTGCTACTAGTTGTGGTGTTTCCTGTCCCTTGTTGGGAAGAAGAACAAGATGCTCCTAAATAAGGCAGCCTGGTGTCCACACAGGGCAATTTTTATACAACCTCCTGGAACTGTTTGTTGAAAGTTACTTCAGAGAGGAATCAGCTTGAAAAAAGGGCTGCTTTTCACCTCGKAGGAGCAGGGCTTTTGTGATCACTGATACTGTCTGTTACTAGCCTTGCTTTCCTTTCAGGGGTCCCTTTAGTCGTTTGATYCATGCTTGCTGTGCTGTTTTGCCTGCTGCATTTCTGACCTTCTGCGTGTAATTCCCATGTTTGTGTTGGCAGCTGGTGTTCAGTCCTTTGGAAGGCACGAAGATGACCGTAAACAATCTGCACCCTCGAGTCACGGAGGAAGACATTGTTGTGAGTGTTGCGTACTGCTCAACTCTGGGGACTGAAACTTCCATCCCCCATCCTACTTCTCTTGATAACTCACTTTTCTGTGGTAGATGTACTGAAGAGGGGTATGGTGTGGATTTATTTTTCATGGGAGGACTTGGAAGACTTTTTAGTTGTTTGTTTGGGGTCTTTTTTGTTTAAAATGGTGTGCTTAAAAGCACTGGACAGAATCCCATTTCTAGGCTGCACTGACACGCCTAACAACTTTTAGAAGAGTTCATTGCCAAGATGCATGGTGTGCCTCTAAATTATGCCCCAACCAAAGYATCAAGGCAGACTGAGACCTGCGTAGAGCACTAAGCTTGAGCTCTGCTGCTCGAATTGATGGCACAGAGTTTTGTGCCACCTGTATTATTAGTACCAAGCACTCATTGGTACCCTGGCAGACACATCAAGATAAATGGCCACTGCCAGTTCTGCCATGTGTTTTCTCAGCAGACGAGCTGACGTAATTAGGAAACTAAACCTTTTCCACCCCGTGTGTCTGCCTGCTTCAAGAGATAACCCTGATACGATCACAGTCATGACTTGCTGTCTGCCCCCAGGAGTTATTCTGCGTGTGTGGTGCTCTGAAGCGAGCCCGGCTCGTGCACCCAGGAGTGGCTGAGGTTGTCTTTGTGAAGAAAGAAGATGCTATCACAGCGTATAAGAAATACAACAACAGATGCTTAGATGGTAAGTTTGAGGGCAAAGTTGCGTTTATGATAGATGAATCAGGTTTTCACCTCAGTGGAGAGTTTAAAAGCATCTCAAATGTCTCTACGTTGCCGAAAGAATAACTGCCAGAAGGCTGCTTTGAGAGCTGGGCAGTATTGCAGGCCTTTGCATAACCTGTTTGATATATGCACAGTTTGTTTGAATGATATTCAGAAATAAGTCTTTTTCAGGAAGTGAGGGCTCAAAGGCAGAAGCAGGCTGCCAGTGCTTCCTCTGATCTAACTTCCAGATGAATTTTCTCTTGTCTGTAACCAGGAAGCCCAAACCAGACAGTCCTTAGGAAGACATTAAATGCTTACAGAGTAGCTGTTTTTTGGCATAAGTAAAAATAGTATTAGCAGAGGTCTTGGAGCCTGACAGAGGCATTCTGAATCATACCCCCGGACATTACTAGCAGCGACAGACTTCGAGCAGTGCAGGTTTTGATCAGAATTTGTCTGCATGCTTTTACTGACTGTAAATAGTTGCTAATTTCTAGCTTGTCCTCTTACCCTTGTGTGAGAACTGATGCAACTTCAACAAGTGTAGGCTCTCTAGTTGAAAGTAGGTATTTTTTTCCCTGGATGTGTAACGATCTTAATGTCAGGTACAGAGCAGACAGCTCAGAATGGGAGAATCTCCCTGCTGAGTGTTGTTTAGCTAAATGTAATTTTGGATTTCATATTCCTGTGACTGTTCCAGTCGCACTACAGTTTGGAAGTGCTATGGTCTTGCAACAGAACATGTTTCAGCTGTTCTTTCTCGTGGTTTCTCCAGCATGTGGAGCTTCACTACAGCTTGCACTGCTGTGTGGTATTTTGAGGRTCTTGCCTTACTTGGTATTCCAAGATAGATTCATTGTTATTTATGATTATTATTTCTTTTAGGTCAACCGATGAAATGCAACCTTCACATGAATGGGAATGTCATCACCTCAGACCAGCCTATCTTACTGTAAGTGCCTCCTGAGGGGAAKAAACAAAAAAAGTTTGTGGGCTCTGTTTTGAGGAGAATCCATGGGAAAGGAGAAAAATGTGTTGGTAAATTGTTTTTCCATGAATTCTAGCTTGTTTTCTGGAAGCTCTGTTTTGAGCTGAATGCAAAATAGCTTGTTTCCATAGTGCTGCCAACCTTGGGAGTCAAAACGAGTCTGAGATCAGGAGACCTTGCTAGCACATCCTAAACAGCTATGTCCAATATTGAGAAGAGAGGAGATGCTGAAAACAGTGCAGCCATTGTGTAAAGTTTTTGAAAAAGTGAGGTTTAATACTATTTGTGGGGTTTGTGTTTTGTTTTCTCTTGCACGCTGCAGCCGGTTGAGCGACACTCCTTCAGTGAAGAAGGAGGGAGAACCACGCCGGTCAAGTGCGAGCGCCTCTTCGAATCCCGCTGCCGAGGTGGACCCTGACACCATCCTGAAGGCWCTCTTCAAATCCTCAGGGGTCTCTGCCTCTGTGCAGCCCACAGAATTCAAAATTAAACTCTGAGAAGGGAAAGCAAGAAATGGACTGGAAAACTCACTTAAGTCAGAGAATGAGAAAAGTGCGGGAGTGCAGACGTGGTTTGCAGTTGCCTGCCTGGAAGTTTTGTTTTCTATGATCGCTACCTTACTGTACAGTAGTGTTTCCTCTTGTGTGTGTATTTTCTGTTTTCATAGTTGGAGTTTTCTTCCACATTTTTTTTTTTCAAGAGAATAACTTCCCTCTTTTGCCAGTAATATATTACCAAGCATATACGATGTAATTCCCTCCTTTACCCCAAAGCCCCTAGTGGCCATTAAAAGTGCACATAGACTCTAAGGAAAGGAGTGGTAATCTCCTTTTCTCTTCTGACCTACCTTTAAACTAAAAGGTGCATCCTCTTGGTTATCAACAGACAAGACAACACCTTGTTTCCAGAATTGCTGCATCCAGTACAAGGGTATGGCTCCATTACAGCAAGTGCCATCTTGCATCCCTGACTCATATGCAGTCAGTAGCCAACCACTTCAGCTTGGCCTTTGGATATCTCTCTGCTCAGAAGCTGTGATGTGAAGATACAAGAAAACCTGAGCTCCCCAGTGTGTTTGCGAGCCCAGGGATGCGCTGGGGAGAAAAGATGTGTGTACAAGAGCAGCATCCATCGCGCTGTGGGAGGGATATTTCAACTTTTAAGGCACAGAGGTGAAGAARGACACTGCTGTTTCTATGATGAATATATTTACTGTGTAGAGTCAGGCCGAGTTGCTCTCCTCCCTTTTTCTGGACTTAAGAACCAGGACTGCTCAGAGTTAGAGAAAATCCAGGTGTTTCACTCCCATTAGCCAGTATTGCATCCTYGTGATATCTGGAGAGAGTCGTGAAGTACTGTGTTAACTTCCAGCCTRCCCCTTCTCCTAGGAAAAGGAAGAAGCTGAGGCCTCTTTCCGGCACTAACACATCAGGAGGAGTCTCCTGCCCCTAAGGAACCACTTGGGAGAGGTAGTTTGGGTGCTGCTTGGCTGCTGTGCAAGCCTGCTGCTCCCACCTGTGGGCTTGGAGGGTGCCCGCTCCCTCGGTGGCTGCAGCGGGAGGCTTGGGGCAGGGGGAGCAGCCGGCCCTCCAGGGGAGGCATCGGAGGCTTTGGGCACCGGCGAGTCCCGCGCAGAGCAGAGTGGTGGGATCCGCCTGCCAGGAGAGCAGGCACCCGCGGGCCGCCCCGGCCGCTAGGTGGCACCTCCAGCACTTCCCGGGTGCCGCCGGTACCRCCACGGATGCTCCGAGCGCCATTGGCAGCTCCGAGTGCCACTGGCTGCCTTCGCTTGGATTAGCTCAACTTGGCCTGTCAGAAGAGAGGAGAGGTAAGAGCCACTTCCAGAGCCTGAGCTTTGAGCTTGATCCTCCCAGGTAGGAGAGTGACCTGACCCAGTCTGCTCAGCGCTGCTGAACTCGCTGCTCAGCTCGCTGTCACCACCGTAGGCCCAGGCTCCATTTCTTGGTCAACCCTATGTTTCTTTTGCCTTCTTGTTCTGTACAAACGCTTTGCTCTGTCTAGCAGGTGCAAACCATTCCTCTGTTTCACTGTATCTGATTTAGCCAGGGAAATAACTAAGAACTCGGCAGGACTTCTTTTTTTCCCCCAGTCTGCTCTGGTTTGGAAACCAACCACATTATTGGTAGGAGGCTTCTTGTGTAGGGGAGGGGACTTAACACACCTACCATTCCCCTTTTATAGACTGCCCACCAAACACCCGTGTTTTATTAAGGGTTGGGGGGAGGGGGTGCTAGGGGTTGGAGAAAATACTGTATTACCTGTTTCTGAATAAACGTTTGTTATACGGAGAGTGTTGCTGTTCAAGTGGGAGCAATTTGTGTCCACAGCTAGTCTCAATTCCACTGGTGTCTCTCAAAAAGGAGAAAGGAAAATGGTAGCGCTTGTTACAGGCTGCCTAGTGGGTTTTGACAATAACTCTGGGTGGGGGGAAAGAGGTGTGAAATGAAGGTGTGTGTGCTAGGGGAAACAAGRTACTTTATCAACTCCATGGAGTATGACGAGAGGAAGACGTGGCTGTGTATTTTTTCAGAAAGAAGGGCTTGGTCACAGTCTTTCATTAGTACATTTGCAACCATTCCCCAAAAAAAGCAATCAGAAACACTGCAATATGCTATTGAGCCCTGTGTTTAGGTGATCTGTGATAAGTTAAGAGGATATTCACGTACTTCCTTAGAAAAACTACTGCTCTGTTACCTTCTTTATTTATTTATATCTTATCCTTGAAGTCGATGATAATTCCCCAACTACCACTCTACAATTTGCCTTGCAGTCTAAAGGTGGTTAGGTTGGATCAAGCTTGTTTAGCTCATTCTTCCTAATAGTTTCAGTGGGTGCTGAAAGAAGAGTAGCTCTGCMGTAGCTGCCAGGCTTTCTCAGGCTGTTCCCCTCACGGCTCAGAAGTTTCTTGGAATATTCCCTGGGATATTCATGCTAGTTTTGTGATGATGCGAGTCCTGTCTGCCTTCCACTGCGTTCGCCTGCCACCCTCTGACCACGACCCGCTCACACTGCCCGGCAGCGTGGTGGCCTGGGCGGAGGGGCGTAATTTGGGAGGGAACTGAGATCGTAAGTCTGCAGRCAACGCACCCACCTCGCCAGCACCCATTCACCACCGTCGTCCAGAAAAGCTGGTCGGTAATTTGTAAGAGGTTGTTTTGCTTTTCCAAAACGAAAAATCCCAATGCAATACCACAATGTCTAAGCTTGCCTGCTATACATTTACAATTTTTCCTGTTGCGTTCCTTCTGATCGTGTTCTTAACTTGGATATCTCTTCTGTGAGTCAACTCTCCACATCCTTTGTTATTTTCACTCGCTTTGTCCACCTTGTACCTTTGTCTTGCTTCCCTATCCATCGCTATTTTGTGGAGCTGTCCCTTTGGTTCTGTTCACTCATAAATACAACGCTCTCCGTAGCGCCCGTGCCGCGTGTAAAACGCCCCTGCGGCGCCGCTGCCCCGCGGGCCGCCCCCGCCCGCCCGGGCCCCGCCGCCATTAGCGCGGCGACTACAGCTCCCGGCGGCCCGCGCGCGCCGCGCTTCCCGCCGAGCTAAGATGGCGGCGGCGGCGGAGCGCGTGCCGGGCGCGGCGCCGGCGGGATACGCGGGTGAGGGGCCGGGGGGCGCCGGGCGAGGGGCGGGAGGGAGGAGGATGGCGATGGCGATGGGAGTCTCTGACCGGTGCGTCGCCCGCAGCGCTGGCGGTGAAGTTCGGCCCGCGGCAGCGCTCGCCCCACTGCCTCTTGGTGAGGGAGCACCGGGTGCGGGACGGGGCCGGCGCCGCGCACCCGCCCCGCCGCACCCTCTTCGTGCTCAACGTGCCCCCCACCTGCGGCCCGGTGAGTGGGGCCGCCGCGCGGGCGGGGGGCCGTTGGGGCGGTGGGAAAGGGCCCCTCCCCCGCCGGGCTCCGGGTCCCCCGGGGCTCCGGCCTCGGGTCTCTGCCCTGGCGTCTGTCCCTCAAGGTGTCAGTCCTGTCCTCTGTTCCCCCCCTCGGAGTCTGTCCCCCCACCCAGGACCGTGGCCCCCGCGGKCCCTCCCGGCACCTTCCCGTGGGATGGGGCACTGGGATGGGCCTGGGACCCCACGGCAGGAGCCTGGGGGCGGCTGCGTGGGCAGCTCTGGGCCCTGAGGGTCTCGTCAGAAACCCCCTCTCCCCTGATGCCTTTGTGGGCGGGAACGGGAGGGAAGAAGTCCCCTCTCCTGTGTTATTTTTTTCTGCTCTAATGCCTGTATCAAGGAATCCCTGTCCAGGCTGTTCCTCAGCTGTGGGCACGTTCAGTCTGTGGACATCTGTGATAAGCCAGAAATAGCAGAGAAAAGAGACACACTCAAGTCCAAGTTCTTCAACCCCAAAACGACAAAGGTAAAGCTTGGGGGGAGGCACTGGAGCCCTAGCAGTGAGAACGGGGAGAGATCTCAAGTGTTGGGTGGTGCTTTTTGAAGGATACGATATGGAGAAATCATTTGGGGGGATTTGATGGTAGGATCACTTAAATTTGTTTTCGTCTTTGCTCTTCTCGTGCAGCCTGTGGTTTGGTTTAGTTAATTTATTTATTCATGGTATCGCAGCTCCTTGCGGTGTCACCGGTTCCCAGGATTCTGTGCCTGGCCTCCTGACGGACTCYTTTCTTCTAGGGTTTCCGAGTAGCGTACGTGGTGTTCAGGAGCCCAGCCGGCGTCCAGGCAGCCAAAGCCCTGGCGCAGAGAGGGCCCTTGCAGATATCAACAGAGAGTCACCCGGTGAAAACTGGCATTAGCAGTAAGTCACTCCTTGCTCTCTCCCTGTTAACCAGCACAAGGGAAAACTGTGCTCATTCCTTACGGAATCCTACGGCGTGTATTGCAAATTAATTCCCACCACTTTATGCAAAGAGTGAATGGGAAGCCATCCAGTGTTTTCTTGTGCTTTTCTTACTGTTAAGGTAGTTTTCTTATCCTAGTGAAAGCTGTGGATCACAGTTCTGTGCCCCTGTGGGAGGAGAGGCTCACTCGGTTAGTGGAGGGGCAGTTTCTCCCCCTCGCTCTTCAGTGCTCTATGGAGAAGCTTGCTGCGCCTTGCCCTGGCCTTGGGAGCCAGGCCCACTAACAGGCACAAGGTGTTTGCCAAGAGGACAGGGCTCTGGATGGAACCTCTTGGCAGGAACAGCCCTGAATGCTGGGCTGGAGGGTCCCCTGCTCTTGCCTGCGAAGTTGCAAGCTCTTCCCATTGCCTAGCTGTTTACAGCTAAGGCCTGGCCTGTAAATCGGTTGTTCCTGAACCAGTTCAGTGGGGTGCTGAGGGTGAATGTAAATGGGATTTGACCCTATAGCAGTTTCCTTTAGAGAAGTTCGAAGGCATCATGTCTAACAGAGGTTCCTGCTGACTTCTGTGCTCTCTGGGGCAGAGTGGATCGCCAGCTACGCGGGCTCCGTGGTGGATCGTGAAGAGCTGAAGGCTGAGGTGGATGCCTTCATGCAGGACTATGACAAGCAGGTAGCAGAGGTGAGGCCAGGCTGGGSAAGCAACCCAGGGAAGCAGTTTGGGAGCAAAGGAAAGAGAGGGTCTCGCTGCCCAGAAGTTCCACTGGAGATGGCAGAGAAGGGGACACTGCCTGGCAGGATTGTTCACCTCTGGTTGCTCATGGCTGGTGTCTGTGGTGCTGGTTTGGCTTTTAGCACCTACGTCATGCTTCACTCCAGGCTTACAGGGGGCACGCACAAACACACTGGGCCCTGTCTGGTGTGTGACACTGTGACTGAGGTGTGCCTGGCCCTGCGCTTGGTCCCGAGGTCCTCTGTCCTGGGCTCTCCTTCACGTGTTGTGCAGAAGCCAGAGCTCTGACCGTGCATGAGTGGCCTGTGGGGCTGGCCAGACRTTCCCGCTCAGCCTCTGCCTTCGGTACCGCTAGGAAGAAGCCAAAGCGGCGGCGGAGGACGGCGTTCCCGATGAGGAGGGCTGGGTGAAGGTGACGCGCAAGGGCCGCAAGCCGGGCCTGCCCCGCACGGAGGCCGCCAACCTGCGGGTGCTGGAGAGGGAGAGGCGGAAAAGGGCCCGCAAAGAGCTGCTCAACTTCTATGCCTGGCAGCACCGTGAGACCAAGAGGGAACGTGAGTGCCTCTTACCCCTTCCCATGTCTCTTGTCGCTTGTACTGTGGCCTTAAGAGCACCATTTCTCTTCAGTGGTTGCTGTAGGTGACCAGTTACTGTGCTGTGTGAATGGTCTCCCCAGGTCTTGTGGGTCCGGTGCTAGCCCCGGCCTAGTAGGGGTGGTTTGAATGTTTTGAGAGAGAGGTGAGGARTGTGGCTTGTGCAGTGGGCACAGAAGCACAGCGGGGTGGGGAAGCTGAACTGTTGCCCTGCTCGAGAGGGAGCTGCAGCACTGCAGGGGGTGAGTGGCTGGGGCCACTGCCCTGGCCCGAGCCCTGGCCCAAGGGTCAGATTCAGGGCTGTTGGGAATGAACCACTGCAATGTGCACGGGGCTGTTGGGAGCACCTAGGGAGGCGGGAATGTGCTGCTCTCCTGTGTGACCTGCCCTCTCCCTCCTGTTTCAGACATTGCCCAGCTGAGGAAGAAGTTTGAGGAGGACAAGCAGAGAATCGCGCTGATGCGAGCCCAGCGCAAGTTTCGGCCGTACTAAGCCACCCTGGACTGTTTCCTTGGCTACTTGTGCTGGGCAGGGACGGGCACGTATGGGCCCCACGTGCCRAAGGGTCTCAAAGAACTGAGGCAGCTTCAGGTTGTTCCTGCCCTTGGATCTGAGGTGGGAGGTGCCCAGGGCCCAGGACTGAGGGGCCCAGGAGCCAGGCCCTGGCATCTCCTGCTCTCTGGCCACGTCTGCACTGTCGTCCAGCCCTGGGGCACCACTTGCAGAACTCACAGGGCAGAGGAGACTGAAGCCTTTCCTGTGACAAACTGTGCCTCCCTGCCACCAAGACCTTCATAAATGTTGGTGAGAGCCAGAACTCACACAGCACAGCCTTTGCAGGGACAAGGAATGACTGAAGAACTGTAAATAAACTGCTCCTATTATCCTAAAACACGAGACTGCCTCTCTGCCAGCCCTGCTCTGAGACAGCTCCTTGTGTGGTGTGATAGTAATACCAGCCGTGGCTTATACTGGTTGTCCTTTGCACAGGGCAGRCTGATACTATCCTGAGGGTGGGGAAGAAGAGTGGGAGCTTGGACAAAGCCAAGTTGGGATGTTTCCAACTCAGTTGTACCAAACAAAGTTCAGKGGTTTGATACAGAGCACTCTCCTTTCCCCCAGTAGTTCTTCCCCAGGCAGCTCCTTTTTTTAAACAGATTTTGYACCTGTATCTCTACTACTAGCTCTGGGCTGGGCTACAGGAGCTTCTGCTGCTTGGCATGTTCACAGGAACAAGGTGAGATGGCAGCCTGGCTTTGGACAGAGGGAGGAACACCATCCCTTCCGAGGCTGTATTCCCCTTAAGCTGCCACCTCTCTACAAGAGGCCGGTAAGGATGGCAAGGGGACACCCAGGGCAATGCTTCTGCTCGGGGGACATCTATGCAGCACTGGGCCTTAAAGACTCATCACACCATCATGCTCTGTGACTGCCTTGCTGTGATCAGAAAGGTGCAGAAACTGCCCTGCCCCCAGCCTTACACATTTCTGCCTCCAGAGGCTACAGAAAGGCAAACATCTGTGCAAGAAGGAACTTTGACCAGGTTTACAGAGCCTTGTTGAAAGGGAGGGACCCTCCTGTGGAAAACAGGCCAGGATGCAGCGTCTGGGGCAGCAACCCACCAGGCCCGCTTGCTCCAATGAGCTTTGCATCAGCTTGGGAAGCAGATGGAAACCTACCGTGCAACATCTGAAGCAGAAGGCAGGGAGAATGGCTGCCTTCCCTTTGGATTAGCACTTTAGCTGCTTGAGTGAGCACCCCCAAAGAAGAGAGGTTCACTCTCATATAATCAACATGACAGTATTAGCACTGAGTGATCAATCTTTACTTAGAGGGCCAGAAATCATCTCTACCAATTTTCCCGTTACTATTAGTTCTCCCAGCTGCTTTGGCTGGAGGATTAATGACTCATACCCTAGGAGTCCTTTGAAACAGCCTTCCATGCCCAAGTGAGCTCTCATTTAAGCTGGTTTTAACACGGCAACAGCTCTGGCCACAGAACAGAGGGGCCTCTGAGCTGAGGCACCCATGGAGAGCAGCAGAGCCGTTCACCGTTTTTATTAGTGGGTCTGACCCTGACTGCACCATCCTCAGAGAGCACGTGAGCAGGAGCTGTTTTATCTCCCAATTCTGGAACTGCTCTTGCTGCTTTGGCCACAAAGGGGGGCTGTGCTTGTATCTCTGCTYCGCTTCAGGAGTTAGGAAGGAGCAAGTGGAAGGCCACTTCTCCTTGCATGAGGCTTCCCAGGGTTATCCCTGCACTCCCAGAGCTGGAAGGGAAGGATTCTTGCTTTTGACAACGGAGACGCTTTGCTCAGCTCTCCTCCAGGAAACCCCAGCAGAGCTGCTTCCACTGCAGCAAGCTAAGCTTAGGAAAGAGTATTGTGAAACTGATGCTGAACATGAGGCAGAGCCTTCCCCTTAGCACCCTGTTCTGGACAGGGGCCGCCGAGGAGCTGTCTAGAGCCTGGCCCTGGCGTCGTGGGCAGTCAGGAAGGTGCTGATGCTCCCAGCCACCGTCTCAGGCTCGTTCAGGTGAACAAAGTGGTTCCCAGGCACCTCGACTACATTTCTGCCCTGGAAAAGAAAGAGGACACAAGATGTGGACTGGGAGAGCATTTCCTCACGGAAACTCTGCTTATTGTGTGGCACAGACTGGAGCAGGAGACAATACAAAGATGGGGTCTCCAAGGAGGGCTGGGAATTATGTTGAATGCCTGAGGATGTGCCAAGCACAGACAAACCCATCATGTAAAGGGCGATTACAGTCCAGGATAGTGAGGGAGGCAGAACAGTGATGGGGGAGCAGAGAAGCAGGCCCAGAGGGTAGCGTTGAGTGGGACTTTAGCAGCAGGGGTAAAGCTGGATTTCTCCTCCCTGGGTGAGGGGGGGCTGTTTTACAGATTCCCTGCTGGGGCTGTGTCTATTCAGGTGAGCTACTTCCTAGCAGCTGCTCCCAATCCCCATGGAGTGGAAAGGCAAAGATGGGGTTTGCTCTCACCTCTTTCAGGACCAATTCAAATGCTTCCCGGAGCCGTTTCACAAAGGTGTTTCTTGGCCCTAGATTGTGTGACATCAGGAGTCCATCCCGTGCTCTGAAAGTGAAGAGTACGGCTCAGCACAGCAGCTACTGGGGCTGTCCTGGCTAGGAGTGCTTTCAGCACAGGGGGACACTACACCCAGCTCCTTCCTACAGATCTATGAAACTGTAAACCAGAGCTAAAGTGGGGCTGCTTGCAAACTGCAAGGCAGCAGGTTCACACGTGGCAGTCAAGGGCACAAGGCACAACTCAGCCAAGCAGCTATTATCTAATCAAATTATCTCCTTTAAAATCCTGGGCATGTGCCTAGCAGTATCAGAGTGGAGAATGGTTAAATATTAGCACTCTCCGCGCGCCGGGCTGGCTCCTTAACTCATCGGAGCACATTGCTCCCCATCTCCACACTGTCCTCTGCCCTGTTTTTCCCTCCCTCTAGCATCTCTCCTCTTCCTTCCCCACTCTGCTGCTTTAAACACGAATCCCAGGTTGTGCCCTGCACGGAGGGGAAGAAGGGACCAGCAGAGCCGTCCTTGAGCACTAGGCTTCCTGCAAAGCTAACACTGTGACTGCTACTGTGCTGCATGTGAAGATACCAGGTGAAGTCCCAGGGCCCTGCTCTGTACAGTCCTATGGACCGACCCTCACGGTGCTGCTTCTGGAAACAGAGAGCAGTGCCTAAATACACAGGCAAAACCTCCCTAAAGAGGCCAAGCAGCCCAAACTGCACCTCATTTCTCAGCTTCCAGCACATCATCTCATTTCCCCCGGAGCCCTCCACAAGGGCCAAAGGAAAGGGAGGGAGGGGACAGGCTGTTCTCACTGGTGGCCAGCGATAGGACGAGGGGTAATGGCCACAAACTGAAGCATAAGAAGTTCCGTCTCCAGGTGAGGAGCAACTTCTTTACTGTGAGGGTGACAGAGCAGTGGAACAGGCTGCCCAGGGAGGTTGTGGAGTCTCCTACTCTGGAGGTCTTCAAAACCTGCCTGGATGCCACCCTGTGCCACATGCTCTAGGTGTGCCTGCTTGAGCAGGAAGGTTGGACTAGATGATCTGTAGAGGTCCCTTCCAACCTTAAATATTCTGAAATATTCTGAAATATTCTGAAATTCTGAAACCCAGCCCTGCACGTGGCCCTCCAAGCAGAAGGACAAAAGGCAGAGGAGAAGGGAGGGAGGCGGTTTCCCCCACAGCCCCTCCATGCTCCCCTGCAGCTCCCTCTGCCYGGRCTGCGCCAGGAGGGCGCCGGCAGCAGCTGGGTCAGGACAGGGCTCCAGGAGCCGCCGGAGCTCGTGCAGCTGGCACAGGGGTACCAGCTGTGCAGGCCAAGGGRCTCCAAAGCCCGGAGCACGGACAGCCTGGCTCCCTGCAACGGGGGCAAGGAGGCCACGAGAGAAGAGCAGAGGGGCTGGGAAGGGCCCCGTGTCTGCCAGGCTCTTCCTTCTGTGGGAAGGGAGCACGAGGGAGGGACTATGGGGGGCCAGGGAGAGCCCGGCGTTTCCCCAGGCAGGGAGCCCATCTGGGAAGTGCAGGGCCAGGTGGAAGAGGCTGAGGGGCTCCGGGAGCCAGCCCGGGGYTCGAGGAAATGCTGCTTTCATGGGAGGCACTGAGGCCAGGGCGACCTGGGCCACGGGCTCAGCAGCTGGGCTGCTGCTGCAGTGGAAGGGGTGGCAGAGGAGTCGCTGCTGCCCTTGGTTCTCCTGCCGTGCTTGAGCTGCACTCACATGATGATGAGAATGCGGTCCTCAATCTTCCGCAGCAGCTTCACACACTGCTCCACCGTGAGGAACTCTCGACTCTGCTGTGGGGGCAAAGGCAGGAGAGCAGCAAATGTCAGGGACAGCAGCCCGGGCAGAGAGGTGCCCTGAGCCCTACTGCAGTGGCAGCTCTGAGTGCAGAAGAGGCTGATACCCCAAAGCAGCTGTGGGACAGCATGGGCTCCTCACAGGAGCTGCTGGCTGTGCAGCAGCTCCTTCTGTCCAGCTGCATTTCAGTGCTGCCAATGCTGCCTGCTGGGATGCAGCATGAATTGGAATCATCTCACAGCACAGAAAGGCTTTAAAAGTCTTTCTGCTTAAAAAAAAAATAAAAAGAAATAAAAAAGAAAAAAAAAAAAAGGGCCTGGCTAAGGCCTGGCTATCATGTTCTGGCAATAGCACAGGTAGAGGAGGCCCTGCTTCTTGAAAAGTGACACAGAATTATCAAATTATCAGCCATGAGGACTTTGCTCTGCCCCCTCACCCACTTCTTACAAGGGTGATCTGTTTGAGAAGCCAACCTGGAGCCTACATCCATCTGCTGCCTGGAGAGTTAGAACAGCAGGAAAATGTGGCCAGGAGGCCCTGGCACAGGAAGAACTGCTAAAAAAGGTTCAGTAATATTTTCCAGTGACTCTGTAAGCTGAGTCAGTTAATGATCAAGTGCAAGCTCTTTTAACAGCAGCACTTAAAAGATGTGCAGCAATTAGGAAAGCAGTAAGTAAAGGGTTGGGTGGAGGCAGGGCTCAGTGAGTGGGCCTCAACTTTCTCTGTTTTCTGCAAGCTCAGGGCTCAGAGGCAGCAGGGGGCAAGTCAGAACAGCAATGCTCACCATATGGGCTCTCATGTCTCTGTTATACAGCAGTCCTGGAATGAAACAAGAGAAGGTCTTCATGTCTCACACAAAGCTTTCATGTCTCTGCATCCCCTCCCCTTTGGGGTCAGCCCAAAACCTTCTCAGGCCAGAGGGAGGGGATGAATTCAGGTTTCTCCCTTTTTTGATTTTTTTATAGCCATTCTAGGACTCAACAGCAGCTGCTGGGACTGCGGAGCTCTGCCTCTGGAGGTAATTGCTCCCATGCAGCCTGTACAAACTCGCAGCCAGGACACCCTGTTCCCTTTGAAAGACAATGGCTGCTGGCACTGCTCTCTTCCCACATGCAGCCCTGGGCCACCGCTGTGATCAGCCCTGTCTCCAAGCAGCACGGGCCCCCCCCTTACCAGCGGGTGTCACAGTCGCTCCTCGCTGCAGCAGGACTTCCCCACCCCGTGCTGTCAGATGTGTGTTYGCTTCTAAGAGCCTGGGGGAGACATGGCAGAGAGGTTGTACTGCTGGGAAGGGGAGGAAGCGAAGCAAAAGTGTCATGACAAGATGACAGCAAGCTCTCGGGCTCCTTCAGAAAACAGCAGGAAGCTGGCAAGGGAAGCAAAAGGTCTTGCTTAGGTTTCACAGGAGGACTTGAAGTGGGCAGCATAGGGACACAATTTCCCCTGCTGGGTCATGCAGCACATAACTCCATCCAGGGTAAGGGTGGCCCATGAAGGCCGGGAACAGACGGGGCCCACCTCTGCAATGCTGCTTCGGGGCTCCGTGCTTTGGGAGGCTGCTGCTTCGCCTCTAGGCTCAGGAGGTTGTCGATCATCATCCGCTTGGACTTCAGCCACTCCTCAATGTCCTGAAAGAGATGCAGAATACAGGAGCAGGCCATCATTTCTAGGTCATTTTACCCCTTCACTGTGACAGAAGTTCACCTTTTAACATCTCCCAGAACCCGCATCAGTTAGAGGCCTGATATTAAAAACGACTCTACATTGCTGTGGAGCTTTACCCTTGCAGCCCTTTCCTCCTTTCCCCCCTGCCCCCCTTTTGATCTGAGGACAACTGCTCAAAATAACAACGCAGGTTTGGCATCTTCCATGTCTCTGACCCCAGACGTCTCTCCACCCCTCCTGCCAACCAAAATCCCAGCATCTGGTAGTGACAACGGCAGTTTGGCAAAGTAGCTTTCTGTCCTGCCAGGAACAACAAAATGAAATAATAAAATAAATCCAGGCATCTTGCACCCAGGTCACCCAACAAGCTGCTGGCAAATAGTCAGCCTTGGCAAAGGGTTGCTCTGACAGACGTTCCGGTTCCCTTTGTACAAGGGCCTGGCACAGATGAGCAAATTTCGGTGCTACGTGATTGCAGGATGCTGAAGACTACCAAGAGTCCTACAAAGGGCTCTCTTTGAGTGGGGAGCTCTCTCCATGCACAAAGGAGCAGGTCTGGGCCTGCCAAACTGAAGAGTGCTGAGAATTGTGCACCCTGCCAGAAACTGGTCACATCTGTGGGTTTGGGGTTTGTTTTTATTTTTGAACAAACGGAAGGGAAAAGCCCATTGCATCTCCTTTTTTTGTTGATTATTATTTATTTAAAAAAAATAAATAAATAAAAAAGGAAGGGGAGGACACATGAAATCTAACCTCTGGAGCCAGCAGAAAGCCAATACTTTCCAGCAGGATCAGCTTGTCCACCATCTCAGGATAAAGGAGACAGAACTGAGGAGAGAAGAAACATTACGAGTGGAAGAGAAAAGCTGAATACTGAGTGCTGTCTTTACCCTGCTGCACTAGAGGAAGGGCATCCTTCCCTAAGATTCAAGTCACACACAGTCTGTCCCTTTATTCCTCTCCCTTTTGTGTTCCAGCTGCAGAAACTGCAAACCCCATGAAGAGAGAATGCTTTACTCACCATTCCTGCCACAGCCCCACCTGCAAGGGAAAGAAGGGTGCCCTGTTATGCATAAGACAGTCAGGTGGTAGGAGCTCCCCTTCCCACATTCAAAGCCACCTTAGAAGCACAAAGGCATCGTGTGCCAAGGAACAAAACCAGAAAGCAAAGCTCCTCCAGCAGGGAGTTTGCTGGGCTTTGAGCCAGCCACGCTCCCTGGGCTGCCCCAGCCCTATCTCCCTCACAGGCAGCACAGGACTGTTAAAAGGACTGTTAAAAGTTAAGCTAAAAGCTTGCAGGTACCGCAAGCTGTGAACAGAGCAGCCCTGGGAAGCAAAACCCAAATTATGGAGGAAAACATCTGTGTCCCAAGGATGAAAGGGCAGTGTGAAGTCCTGGCTCCCCACAACAAACTCTGTAACCCACCAGGAAGGGCCCAGCCTGTCCCCCACATAGCAACAAATATTGTGGCAGCAAAAAGGCCCGTTGCAAACGCTCCTGCTTTAAAACACCTCTTTGCCCATAGGTTTCCTCTTGGAGAGGAGGGACACGGGAACAGTTTCCACTGCTCATACTACAGGGCCTTGAAAGGCACAAGTGCAAATCTTTGAATTTCTCAGTCAGGAGCCTTGTACTTTAAATGATATAATAAATATGACAACCCAGTTCCTAGAAGCATGTGCCTTTTAAGTTCTTTACTGACTCACGTTTCCACGAATCTCACAGCTTACCAGAGCTACTTACCCATACTGTGACCCATCAGGGTGAACCGTCTCCACTGCAAGGCTAAGTGGCAACAGACAAAAACAGGCAGCACCACGTTAGAAACTCGAGCAGCAGCAGCACATGCTTCCCACCAGCACAGGCCCCTTCCCCTGAACGTTTTTCTTTGCTGCTTTGTTTGATTCCTAATCCAAAAATGAGGTGCATGAGCAGGCCAGCTTTAAAGAAAAAGACCATCTCCAGTTAATTTTCTTGGAAGTAAAGTCATGCAGCTTTCAAGCTCCCTCCGTATGGCAACACACTAGTGCCAATTCCCACTCATTGCCAGACACAAGACTGGCAAGAAGCAAAGGAGCCCGACCAGGCAGCGTATGCTCCAAGACAGGCACTCGGATAGAGCACCCTGTTGCACAGAGTTCAGCAAGAGCCATATGGACACAGATCCAGGTCTGCTGCCTTGGGGAAAGCCTGGTTATTCCAAGTGAAAAGGTCTTTGTACCGTTCAGCACATRAAGTTCTTCAGTCCATTTTAAGGACAACTGAGGAAACGTATGGGAAAACACTGCTTTACCAGCACTGCCTTTCTGAAACATGCCTCATTGAAAAGGGGTGCTTTACCCTCTGGCATGTCAAAAAAAAAGTTCTGGGGGATCTTTGTCTGCTGCGTGAGGAATACAAAACTGCACGCATGCCACACGCTCCCCTGAGACCAGCACACAGCCAAGCACTCAGACCAGGAGTTACTAAGAGCCCCAGTTATCTTGGCTTTCAGATCTATTTGTGTTATACTAAAGCAAGCACCAAGTTGCCATCCACGGACACGCAGGCACCAGAAGAGTTTCCAACTTATGTCTAACACTGGTCAGAGGTTTCTGGCTGCTTACAAGAGATCAACTCTGGCAAAACTGAGCTATTTAGTTGTATCCACCCCTCAACCACTATTGTTTTTCTGGGCAGCAACTTCTCCTTCCCAGGGTTTATTGTTTCTGCCTCTCACAAAACAGTGAGAAAGAGGGAGGCTTATTCAGCCTGCGGTCATAACATCACGCTGGAAAGGGAGCTGAGCCTTCCCCCACCAGTGACTCCTGTCCATCAGTATACGGAGCCGAGAAGACATGGCAGCCCTTGTGCAAACGTCCCSTTGGGGCTCCTTTCAGCTGCTCACCTGCTGCCACCCGGCGCACCTCGCTCACGTAATCCAGGAAGTGGTAGAGGGAACCTGCAGGCCGGTGGGACGACAGGCCGTGGCCGGAGAAATCCATCRCCACATAACGGTGCCCTGAAAGGCAGCGAGCGTCAGCCACGCAGCCCCGAGGCAGCGCACGGGGCCCCGCGAGCCAGACCCACCTGCGGGCAGCAGCGGGATGAGCCGGTCGAAGGTGTTGGCGTTGTCGAGCCAGCCGTGCAGGCACAGCACGGGCTGACCCTGCGCGGGACCCCAGGCCTTGGCTGCCACGTGGCCCCAGGGCACGGGGAACTTCACCTCTGAGGACATGTCTGGAGGGAGGGTGTCCGCAAGCAACGGTCCACGAGCGCGGAGCAGGTCCCRGGGGCTCCTGAACGGCCCACAGCTCTGGAAAGACAATACAGCTCTGCAGCAACGCACCAGCCTCCTGTCGTTTTAATTAGCAGCTTGCTGATTTGCATTTCCCCACTTGACACCCAAGCTGCAGCCCCGCTGGCTTGTCTGGGGACACCYTCTCCCTGCACGTCCCCACGACGCTCCTGGGACACGGCAGCCTTCCCTGRGACAAGGCAGCCTTCCCTGCCGCCAGGGAGGCAGCCTCCGCTGAGGCCCCTTCCCGACCCGCGGCAGATGCAGCAGGAGGGWGCGGAGCAGCTTCCCGGGCTGTGGCACTGAGCCCAGCACCTGCCTCCCACCAAGCACACGCGAACACGGAGCGGTGCCTGCTACRACATCCTTGCTGCCCTCTCCTCCTCTCCCACACTGCTCGGCACCTCCTGGAGCGCTGCTGCCCTCGGGACCTCCCTGCTGCCCTGGGACCCCCTGCTGCCCCGGGGCCCCCCTGCTGCCCCTCGTGCCCCTCGGCAACCCCCTGCGGCGCTTGGCTGCCCCTGCAGCGCCGAGGGCAGCCGCAGGCCTGACCCGCTGCCCGCCTCCATCCCCAGGCCCCGGCCCACGGAGGTGCCGGGAGCGCCGGCCAGGGCAGCGGCCGGCAGGGCTGCGGGAGCCGCGGCGCCCCGCTCGCCCCGCCGCTCGGCCCCGCGAAGCCGCCAGGCTGCGGCCGGCGGGACAGGGCGCCGCGGCCCCGGCCGCCCGCTCCTACCGCTCGGTCCCTTCGGGAGCAGCGGGACGGGGCGGCGGCTGC